TTAACTGGGAAGAAGGATTTGACAACAACAATTTCCCCAAAAGGGATCGAACATTGACATCACTGCCAGGAAAAATTCTAACTCGGCGGCCAACGCCGAACAACAAAATGGTTAGCTCGTTTGACTCTACCGACTAACTGTGTCGGCCGTCACGATAGCTATTACCCTGGCAGCTAATCGTGCCGGTAGTCCTAAACGAGTCTAATCCGCGTACATAGCCTATAGCTTTCACACTTCGAGGTCTAGCGTAAAGCTTCTCTCGCAAGTGTTTCCAGCTAACATTATACTACTAATCAGATTAAGTCACATAGGGCACATATACATGAAAATTGATGAAAGCTAATTTTGAAATTCACAACTCAATTTGGAAACCTAAACATGAATTGCACCAATTTCCAGCATGCGTGATGAATTTAAAATGCATGTAACTTCTAGTCTAGATATTGCATCATGATGAAATTGCTTGAAAAAAAAAATATCCCTAGCTCAGGCCCCTATCATTTTCATGAAGGACACTCAGGCAGATAAAATCATTAAAATGCACATAAGCATGCTTATCAAAAGTAACACTTATTTTTGAAAACAACTCATGCGATATAACTGAACCACCTAGTCTCAGATGAATATAAATCCTAAGACATGCGGCTAAAATTCTCATTTAATTCACACAAACATTAAAGGTCGTTTAATCACATATTTTTTTTTTTTAGCAACATTTAATTCATGATCGCAATTTAAAGCAGGAAATAGTCAACTTACATGGCTTTAGGAAATTGAGAACTTTATAAATTACAGGCACCCAAATAACACGATTCAAGACTCAAGTTAAGCCTAAGGCATGCATCTACAATATTTATTTAGATCACAGAAATAGATAAGGTCATTAAGATAGTGTAAAAGCATTTAACATTTAGGAATCAATTTCTGCCATCGAAAATATTTGTAAATTACAGCAGGGCACTAAAACAAGAATATCTCATGCCACAAATCTCCGAATCATGCAAACTCAAAACCTACAGAAACTAAACTTGAATTTCTACAAGTTCCAAGAAGGGCACCTTTACAAATAATCACGTTAAGGCCTCATTTCAAAGAATACATTTCAATTGTATACACTGCCACTATTTCCAAAAATTCTGAGCATAACCCCATCTTTGAAAATTTATATAAAATCAACTAAAACACCAAATTGCAAGATTTCAATTTCTAGAGAGAGCTTTTAACATGTACTACAGGTTTCATGTTGATCATATTTTCACATAGTCACATTAACATTGCCAAAAATAACCCAACATCATGATTCATAATTGTGCCCGAGATTTCAAAAAAAAATTGCTAGCAGTTACAACTTCAAAATTTCATAATAAATTCAATTCCATTCCGAATCATGAAATTCTAAGAATCATTGAGACTTAACTCAAAGTATTACAAAATTTATGAAGAACACCTAACCAGAAAATAACCTTTAGGTCACGATTAGATGAGCACAAACAGAGGCTATAACGAGAAGTTTTCATACGATTTTTAGCACAAATACATAATTTCACGTACATAGCATCAAGGGTCACATGTCATCACCATATACACCTCATGTGAGCATATACAACATAAGAGAGTCAGCCCTAACATGATTTTAACACAAATTTACATAAATTCATACGATATCCACGTAACATGTTTTTAAGGAATTTCAGCGTGCAATAATCGTCAAGTTCAATCATATAAGCATGCTTTTCATAACATCAATTTTTAACATCTTGAGTCATATAGAGCCACAACATCATGCTTAAGTAAAAATTCATACCTTTTACAAATGCGTGCCTCGCAGTCAACTCACATGATATTCATGCGATATCGGAGCAATCCACTCGTCCTATGGCGACGTCGTCATCTTTCATCCATGCATTAGTCTTCAGGACTAGCGCTCGATCCAACGTACGAGATTTATCAACCATCATCCCTCTTGAGGCTTAGCCACTCTCAAAAGTTATGACGGTGATATACATTAAATTCTCCTAAACTATAGGGGTCGATTAGTAATCAATTCGCGGAATCTAAACGACACTCCCAGTCCTCGACGACGGAGGTTCTAATTTCCCGAGTGATCTCATACACTAAGGATTCACGCGGTACTTAACCTTTCACTTTCGAGATGGGTAACGAATGGTCCTACTCCAAGGACACTGAACAAATCTTATAGCGAGAAAATGCTATAAATAGCACTTATCTCAATGCACTGAAACTCATAAATAAGCATCTCTAGAGTCCGAACTTA